AGGAGTTTCACATTGTTTTTAACCCATTAACACCTGATTCAACATTCAGCGAGCCATCATTGAAATGGTTTCTCTGCTGAGAGATTTAGTTTGAATTACTCTAAAGGAAAAGAGTAAAATTGTTTATTTACATCTGCTATTAAAATCCTGTTTTAGAATGGATGCAAACATCCCTCTTCCACTGAAAGCTCCGGGCTTTGTGGTACCCGAGTAAGAGGAATCCCGACTTATTCATCACCTTCCTTCTTTTAAGGGCCAATCATGCAAATCTACAAAGTGACGTGGTCGCTGTAAAGAACAGCTCATGTTTGAGCATGGTCATAAACAAAGCGTAACACACTGTGGATAAAAACACGTGTTTCGATAACTTTCCCACCTCCTGCTGCGCGATAGAATAAGAACAGGCCATTCGCTCTGACTGCAGTCCAAGTTGGAGAGCTCTTCTTGGCTATCAGACTCCAGCAACGATGATGCAGATTCTTCTGTTGCTCCGGCAACCATGCATGAGTGTTTTGACTGGCAGTCTCATCCGCTTTTTCTAGTCTTGCTTCATTTTCTCGAGCTTGCCTAGCCCTAGCTTTGTGGTGTGTACAACGTTTATTTCGCCAGTCTGGTTGGTTGGCGTAGATGCGATCTTTGCGCATTGCCAACTCAAACTCCGTTACATGTCCTCCTTAGCAAAAATGCTTAAAAAAGCCTGGACCTCATCATCCATCAAATGGTTTTAGCTTCTCCTCGTCTGCTCCATTATGCGTCTAAGAAACTAGGCGACGGTAAACTAGACACCTGCAAAAACTATATGTGTGTATTCGCTGTAACAAAACAATGGTTTAATGGATGGGCGGACTTAAAAAAAAAAATGAATTCCGACAGTCCACCTTTTATCAAGGCGAATTTATGCTTCTGATAGCCTCTGCAACTGTAAAATCTGTCTCTGTGTGCGACCATGTCCCCCAAAGAGGTCCAGCAGACGTCGTTGCTCACCTCCAAAAACTTCTGACTATGCCTCGGATGGTTGCAAACCCGCGCAGACCTCAAGCGGAAGTGTGCTGACAAAAAGCAGCTGTGATTGGTCCTTGGTATGCCTTTCCGACTGTCTGTGTGGTCGTCCTTCTCGACTTGGTGTGAGGGCGCACCATTTTAAAAAACCGAGGAACAACTACAATGGACAACTAGGACGAAAGGTTCATCAGGGAGGTTCGGAAATACGACTTGTACGATACCCCGACAAATTGTATAAAGATGCCAAGGTCTCTGCCAAAACGAAGTTCTTGTGAACATCCTTGGAAGTTCTCGCGAGTTCTCGAATAGGCCCCCCCCCTTACGTTTTGGCAGGAAACTGCTGTGCGTCCCTAGAATTCCAGACTGATGGTGCTGCCCTTTAGTCTTTGCGACTCCACCCCCTTCAAACGCCTGCCTAAGCAGAGCAGAGTACGGTGTCCCTTACCTTACCAAAGCCCCGTGAAAGAGAAGCAAATTAGTCCAGTAATACTGTATGGTAAAGCACAGAGAGTTTGCGGCAGTGGAAAAGGGGATATACCATATCAAGCTGATTAAATGATTAAAGTTATTGAATCTAAAGGTTTGTTGTTTTATCTTTATAATTTCTAATCAAATTTAACTTTGCTCAAGGTGTTATTGTCCTCTTAAATGTTCTGAGCAATTCTTAGCTGTTTATACCAGAAGCAAATCTGATTTCACACTGCAACTGCAGAAACATTAAAACCAAGGTTTACCATAATAAAACAGAATGATTAAAGAGGCGACATGTTATTGTTTTAGCACCTTATAGTAGCTTTTAGCATCCATTATCATAAACACCTTTAAGAAATCAGTTCCTGATATAAGCTCTATTTCTAAAGGGCTGCCCGGACTCTCTATGATAAAAGGATGAAACATGACCTCTCTGCTGTTTTCAGTATCCATGCGGTCTACTGAAGTCAGCTAATGGTCAAATAGCTCCTTTGCCAATTCAATGAAACGTTCCCAAGAAGAGAACAAATAGACTTCCTGTATCTTGTGGCTCCCAGGGTGGAAATGTACATATTACTGTCAGTCTCACAGTGGCTAGTGAAACATCATTTGTAATATTTGTGTTTGTTAAAAAAAAAAAAAAGACAAATGCAGCAGTCTAAATGTATTTATTGAAAAACCCACAACCCTTTATAAATGGTGTTAAAGAAATGCATTGTATTGTTTGGGATATTTAATTATCCCAAACAATCCTTCGCTTTTTTTTTATGGGCTACATTTTTTAGGTTAACACATTCTTTAGATACATTTCTGTTATTAAGAAGCACACAACAGTGATACCATAAAAAAAAAAAAAAAGAAAAAAAAATCTACATGTAATGGGATTATTTTAAAAGTTTGTTTTTGTAGAGCTGAAATGTACATCAATCATATCTTGGTATTTTTGTCATTTCAAGCTAGCAGCACAAAAACAAAGTAAACTAATCTGAGGTGAATTATAAATTCTCACTTTCCATTGCTATTACCTGACATTGTAAGGAATTGTTTTAGTTTTTGACTCCCTCTTATATTTTGTCTTTCTAAGACTTCGTAGACCTTTTCTTCTGGTCCAGCAAATGGTTAATATGATCATAACAGCATTTCATCTAAAAGCTCCACAGCTTATCCTTTTTAACCACAAAAATGGATCCATAAACAGACATCTGGCTCCGCTTAGTATCATTAACATCATGCAAGCACTAGGTTTTTTTCCTCTCTGATAATATGCAGATTAAACTTAAAGGAGAATATGCTCTGGTGTTGATGATCAGTCTAACGACAGAACGGCGTTGTGTTCAGCGGTGTTGAACTAAAGCACAGCTAAGCTCTTTCTCAGAAGTGCCCTATCTGAAAGTGATGGTAGCAGCTCTGCTTTATTGTTTCCCCCGACAGGTCTGTGATAGAAACTGTATCTGGGTCTCTGAAATTCACAGGTTCACTGCTAGGGTTTGTAGGTTGATATATTTGCATGTTTTTTCCACATTTAGCCAGGGTTGGGTGCCAATTTCTACGTCATCTAACGGCTAGGAAAGTTGGTTATAAAACAACCAAAATAGCTTCAGTAGAAAATGGTAAACCATAAAATGTCAGGAACCCATCAAAGTCTAAAGATGTTTTGCACTGTTACAAATAAATGTTTCCATAGAAAATTGTTACTTTTTAAATGGCCCCTCATACACAACACACATCTTCTTACTCAGGCATGCCCAAAGTTTGTCCTCCAGGGCTGCTGTCCTGCAGGGTTTAGAGGTTTTCTTTCTTCAGCACAGCTGATTTCCATTGATGGCTAATTAACAGGCTTTTGCTGAACTGAAATAATCAGAATCAGCTGTGCTGAAGCTGAGAAACACTGAAAATCTATAGGACTGCAGCCCTTGAGGACCGACTTTGGACAGTCTAACGTTGTGGATACCTCACTGGCACTAAAGATACCAAACTTGTTCTTTACACAGAAGCTACATCCACACTAAATACTGCTGGGGTTTTTTTCCTTAAGACCTGCTAAGTGGTATTTTCAAAGATTAAGGAATATAAGTCATATTTAACAGTTTCTGACCGGCTATAAAGATAAATTGTCAGTTCTGTCACCACTTTGCTGTTAGTCAGTTATTTGTTAGTCAGTTATTTGTTAGTTAGTTATTTGTAGAGAAGATGAGAATAATACACTGACATTATCATGGTGAAGATTAGGAGGCGAAGGCACCTTGCTTAGACCCATTTAGAAGCATCGTCCAATCAGGTGGCGGATATAGTCTCAGGCGCATGAAGTGTAAGGTGTTCATTCAGAGCGTCTCATCAGCCTCCAGGACTAAGGACATACATTTAAACCGAGAGACGCAGGGAGGTAAGATAATCTTCAAAGGTAGATATTACTCTAGCCGACGTGTGTTGGACCGGCAGGTCCTTTCCTTATTTAACCCTGGTTGGTTTTTGTTTTTAAATTGATGGTAAACTTTTTTCCATTTTATGCATAGTGGTTGGAATTGATGGAAGAAGTTAATGACATTGGTGGTTCTTTGTTTTAACTGGAGAAACTACACTAAAATAATGTAGATTAAGGTGTTCGAAAGTTTTTCGTGTTTTGCTTTTATGGCCTGTTAAACTCATGGCTTTTTATGTTTGCCTCATTTTGCAAAAATGCCTCAAGCTCCTGAACCAAAGCCTTGTGGAAACAGTTCTAAGTTTTAAATGTATTTATTTTAAATGGATAGTGAAAGTACAGGTGTTAAGAGGGTCAACCTGAGGATTGGGGTCAGCGAGATGGCCACTGCTTTTAGGATCATCAGCAGGTTTTGTCTTAACCGGATTTGGCTGGAGGAGCTGAATCAACTGTGTCCCAGGATTACAAGAATGACATTGGAGGGCAGTTTAGAGTCCACAGGCCAGAGCATCGACGGCTTTCACCTGCGGCTACAGTGGTGCTGGAGAACCCTGGATGGTGCTCTCTATATATCTGGATACGTGAATCCTTTGTTTCAGAGTATGTTTTGGCTCAATGTTCATGTGGATTTTTTTTAGCACCTTTTTTTCCCCCCTTAGATCCTATTTGCCATTCAAGGACTCTTAATGGATACTGATTGTTCCAAGTCTTTTGTCTCTGTTTAGTTGAAGAACGAAGAAATTCAACATCTTCCTCAATTTTGTTATCTTAAGCCTAAAGTAGCTCCCTCGTGCTTGTTGCTAGGTAACATTTTCAAGCTGGCAAGGACAAGTTGTGAGCTGCCTCAAAAGTGATTCACATCCACTTTCTGTCTGAGCCACACAGAACTGATGGATGAGAAAATGATTTTTTTTTATGAAACTATTCAGGATTTTATTTCATTTAGGAATTTATTCAGGATAAAAAAAAAAACATTTCTGCCATACATGTGATTAGGGACCTAAAATTAAAGTAAACCATGTCATTCAAATGTAACTTAAGTTGGTGTGGCTGAAAAGAAGCAATTTAAGGTTTTGATGCTGAGCTTGTTATTTCGTGTCTTCACTAGATCAGCAAGAGTCTAGGCGGCGGAGCGAAGCGCACCATTAGCAGTGGAAAATGAGTGAACTGGATCAGCTACGCCAGGAGGCTGAGCAGCTCAAGAACCAGATCAGAGTAAGTCCAGGTTCTACCTTTAGTTCAACTCATGATGCAGTTTACTTTGTTGTGAAATTGCTTTGTAGATTTGTGAACCAGATCCACTGCAAAAATAATCTAAAACAAGTTAAAATTTCTTAAAATAAGTGTATTTAATTTGAGTGGGTGAATAAGATGAGCAAGTATTTTTACCCTTGAAAGAAGATCATTAGATGTCATTCACTTAAAACAAGACTGTAGTTGCTTTTTTTTTTCTTAAATGTAAATTGTCTTATTTCACTGGCCAGTTGTCTCATCTGCTCAAATCTGCTTAAATTTTCATTTTATTTTAATGTTACCACTATAGGCCCTTAAGCCTGTTCAGTTTATTTTGTAGTCGAATGTTTTCTTGTTTTTAAACTGTGTCATTTTGTTTTAGGATGCCAGGAAAGCGTGTGCGGATGCTACCCTGTCTCAGGTAAGAATCATTGCTTGTGATCTTAATAAAGAGGAATACAGTAATTGGCTGTCTTTATTTCTCCACCTTGTTTGCTCAGGGTTCATGACTACTCTGTATCTCATGCTAATGTTAACGGGTGACCTCCCTCTCTCCTTCTGATCATGCTTAGATCACAGCTAACATCGACCCCGTTGGCCGAATTCAGATGCGCACTAGACGGACACTGAGGGGGCATTTGGCTAAAATCTATGCCATGCACTGGGGAACTGACTCAAGGTAAACTCATTTGGTTTATAACTGAGCCTGTCCTCCTGGTCTGATTCCAGGAAATGAATAGAAAATCTTCTTTTTGATTACATGTGAAATCACCCACTATAAACTCCTCCAGTTTTAAAGTCTCACCTTATCATGTTATTGCTCATTTTCTGATCAACAGTTGACGTTACATTAACTCCAGGTTGTGCATACGGAGAATAGTAAAACATTTGGTCGTGTAGAAGCTCACTGGACATGTGCCTGCTGTTTGGTGTCTTGGTGCGGCGTGTTTGTGTGCACTGGGATGTGGCATGAGGGTAGGGAAAATACTCAAAATGGAGTCACTCTTTGTTGAAGACAAATCAACCAGCCTCCTCACTGCTTTTAAAGCCTTTCTTTTATACTTTTATGCTTTCTAGCAAAGCAGAGCATTAATCAGTGTTGCTGAGGTCATGAAAACCACTACTTCCTGCTGCAGTGGAGTGCTTATGAGCGTCAGGCCTAATGGAGAAGAAAGATACTCAGACCTTTTCATTCAATATTCTGGGCTTGAGCTTCTTCTTGAATCTAAGCAGGGATGGAGTTAAAACGATCTAAAGTCCTGACATCCTCCCTCTGTTTGTCCTGTATTGAATGTTTCAAATTAAGCAGTTACTAAAATAACAAAAGTCAAGTATGTATTTCATGGAACAAAATCATCCGCATGCCACGTAATACAGTTAACATCCTTTAAAATATTTTATGGCTTCAGGTTTATTTAAGGAAATGGAACAGATTCTTTAAAATAAATACTCAATCTCAGTTATTCCAGTTATCTTTAAACAGCTCCCATCTCATCAACACGTTTCTGCATTAGATGGGAACGAGGCCCTGTTACCTAAGTGATCCGTGAACATCAGCAGGGTGATAATAGTAAAGGGGAACCTCCGAGGATTTTTTTCTCTTTTTGATTTGAGCTGTTCAACACGAGGATGTTTTGAACTTAAACAGTTTGAGTTTCTTTAATAGATCTGAGCTGAAACCAGAATTAAAATATTGAGATGAATGCCTCAAAGCGATTTATCACCATCTCTCAGCTGATCCGTTGACTCTTTCACTACAGGCTGATCCAAAGGAAACACATTTTATTACAGGATACCAGAAGCTCCTTGTTTGTTTTATTCTTTGTTTCCTGCTGTAACCTACATAATGTTAGGTTCAAGTCATATCGTGAAAAGTTTTATCACAGTAGAAATGCCCTCGTGTTTTATTTTTCTGCCATCTCGATGTGAACTCATTACCGTCAGTGCTGTAGTTAAGTGGAGCGTAGTCCCTGCAGTCCTTGCTTTGCTCACCGCTGCTCCTGCACCTTTGGGATCGTCTCTGTGGTTACTCTTGTTGGATGGCAGATTACATCCACAGAGAGCACCTGAGAGGGCTCTCTGGACTAAATCTGCTTTTAAAAAGTCTCCATCAGAAAAATATTATTGATGTCTTGTGAGAAGTGGAGAGCAAATAGTCAAAATGTTTCATGTTGACATTAAAAGAAGTTAGCATTGACAGTCTTGCTTTATATTTGAAGATGTTGAATTTATTTGCTATATTCAAACATGATTTTTTTATGTGTTTTTTTTTTTTTTTTTTTTTTTTTTTTTTTTTAGATTCTTGAAGGATTTTAATAAGAGAATATATGAAATAATAAATCTTAAATTTATATATTTTTTCTCTTCAAGGCTTTTGGTCAGCGCCTCCCAGGATGGCAAACTCATTATTTGGGACAGCTACACCACGAACAAGGTAAAAGCTGGTTAAAACATGGAGCCGTTCTAACCTGCTCCCCAAACATAAAGCATTTAAATAAAGTCAACATTCAGCCCTATGCAGAATTAGGAATAAATTTAAGGGAATAAATGTAGCTGCATGTGGTCCATTTTTCTATGGTGCTCTGTAAATTTAAATTCAAAATAAAATAGAAATTTTTTTAATTCTGGCTTTAAGGGAGGTGAATAAAAACATTAAAGAAATGTGTTTATAAAATAAATAGGTTACTGTATCATTTAGGATTAGGCCAAAGTTCCTAATAAGTTCTTATCCATCCAGACTAGATGAGCTTTTCCACTGTTACACTGAAATTGAATCACGATATAATCACAGTGATGGATAAAGGCATTTCATTAGTGATCAAAGGTGGATTCCTGACCTCAAACACATTTTTTGATACTTTGCCAGGTAAATGGCTCTGACGGTAACCTGATCATCAGAAGAATTATCTCCATATTTCCAGTGTGTGTTTGTTTAAAATAACAGTATGTTATTTATCGGTGTGTAGTGAGCCTTGTGCCCTTGAAAGGTTATTACTGCAAACAGAATTTGTCACATGCCCCCTGCTCTCTTTCTCTCTTCTCTGGTCCATCTGTCACTGCATACTATCTAATATTAAATCTTTCTTCCTCCAGGTCCACGCCATCCCACTGCGCTCCTCCTGGGTGATGACATGCGCCTATGCTCCTTCTGGGAACTACGTTGCCTGTGGTGGCCTGGACAACATCTGCTCCATCTACAACCTGAAGACCCGTGAAGGAAATGTGCGCGTCAGCCGTGAGCTGGCCGGACACACAGGTAGACCTGATGTTTGGATCACCCTGGTTCTAGTTCAGCCATCAGTCTCTGGATCGAATGGGTTTTAGTTGCAATTCAGTGCTTTGTTTGTTCTATGAAGGTTCTTAAACCTCCAGATAAAGCAGCCAGGAACTGATGATTCATACTGCTGCACATAAAGATCATTTCCAAGTCTCAAACAACCTGTGCTGATGTTTAATTTTATATACAAAGTGTGACTATGTCATGTACAGCGTTCCAAGTTTTTAGGTTGCAATTGGGTAGAATAAATCTGTCAGATTATGAGGTTTAGCTAGAGGGACTTTACATCATTTACTGCACTTTTTTTCCTTTTCATAAATCAAAAATTTTGAAATTGATGGATAAAATTTCCTAAACAGTATTGAAGTTAATAGAAATGTTAGCATAGATGACTTAAAGTTATGGAGGAAAAACTAGATTTTTATTCAATAAAACTGTTGGAGCTTTTACACTTATATCATCTCTCCTACGCCTGGAAAATGACAATCCAAACTTTTCTAAAATATAGGAGTTTCCATAATTTCATTTCACTTAATATTTTGTTACTTTAACCAAAGTTTTAGTCCAGCTCCTCAATGGTCTAAACAAGACTTTCTTCCAGAGTAACGTTAAGCTGAACCTGTAGTTCTTCACCTGGATCTGGTTTATACTCCAGAGGAAGAATGAACGCATTTCTGCAAAAAAAATATCTATCTATATTCAGTATTATTATTCACCCAATGGTAGCCATCCTCTTCTTGGTGTCATTTCATGATGTGGAGCATACAGAGAATACTCTAATAGGATCATGTTTTGTGTTCAATTTTTTCAAAGGTCACAAAAACCTTTTGGGAAAAAAAAAAAAAAAGAATAGTCTGAAATTGTGAAGAATGTGTAGGAACCCTGCTGGTTTGCTTCTTTCATCCTCATGGTCTAAGTATATAGATTTCCATGCATTAAAGGACCTTAGTATCATCACAAACTAATGAAAGCATTGAGCACTAAAGCAAGGAGCATTCATCTGATCAGTGTCACATGATGCAGGAAGTGTGTCAGCATTTTAGTCCAGTTCCCTCACTATGGGGAGGGGTGAATGCACTCTGCCAGCTAGTATTGGATGAGTTATGGAAGCAAGCTGTAAACCAGGAGATGCCCTCGAGTGTTTTCATGTTTGTTTGTGGAGAATTGGGCTGTTCATCTCCCCCACATGCAGCTCACTCAGCCTTCTCTGTGGGTGTGATGACTGTTTGGTATCAGGACCCTTCCTCTGTTTGCAGAAAAAGTAACATCCCATCAGTTTGACTTGGAAGTAAAGTGAACACCATACCTTAGTTGATCTTTGTGTTTGATTTTGTTCAGGTTACTTGTCCTGCTGTCGCTTCCTGGATGACAACCAGATTGTAACGAGCTCTGGAGACACCACCTGGTGAGTTTGGGGTATTGCACCAATTACATTTCAATGTGAAATCATTGTGAATCAAGACCTGTAATTATATTTTCTATATTATATATAATATATTTTGTATTTTAGAATAATTGATTGTATGCATCACCACATTCTTAAGATATCATTTTTTTTTTTTTGGTTCTTTAAAATATATTAATCTTAATATGACACCACTTTTACATCCATATTTGATCAAAGAGAGCCGAATAGGATCAAATAAAACCAAACAGGTTAAAAACTGCTTTTCATTCATTTTATCTGCCCAAAATATTGGGTTTGTTTTATTCGGATAACATTATACCTGCAGTCAGATAGCTGCAGATTTAATTCTGTACTGAATATCAGTTGTTAATAGTACTTTTTTTTTTTTTCCTTTTTCAGTGCTCTGTGGGACATTGAAACTGGTCAACAGACAACTACATTTGCTGGTCACACCGGTGACGTGATGAGCCTCTCCCTGGCGCCGGACAGCAGACTGTTTGTGTCTGGAGCCTGCGATGCCTCAGCCAAGCTCTGGGACATCAGAGAAGGAATGTGCCGACAGACCTTCACTGGCCACGAGTCAGACATCAATGCCATCTGTGTACGAAGAGCACACAAACACACAAATCATAAATACATGATGGGTCGGGGTGTCTACTGACCATTGGAAAGTGAATGTTTTCACCTGAACACTTGCTGATGCCAGTTTGATGGTGGGAGCATACAGTGATGAGGCGTAGCTCTGCCTCAGTGTCTGGATGAAGCTCAGAGGCAGACAGTATAGCCTGAAGAGAGAGAGAACTGATATTAATTAGATTAATTAAAATGTGGTTATTATCAACCAAATATTTCCAAGAAGTCTTTGCTATTCAGCTAATCTCTATCTGACAAATGATTTTAGAGGCTACTGGTCATTTATTCCCTTTAATATTCAGTGTTTTCATCATTGTGTACCAACTGTGCGTTAACTTTACCTTCTTTTGACGACCATCCATTTAGAATAATGTTTTTCTTATAGTTTGGTGTAAGAAAATGTAGCAATGCAACAGGAATACATTTCTACCAATAGGTTCTTGTTTTATTTTTTTATTAGCCACGTTCTCTTAATAGATAATTAGTAATATATGCCTTTTAGATGTGATTATATTTTATGTCTGATTTAATCCGTTTTACAATCTATCCAATTTAGCTGAAATTAATTTACTGCAACACAATTAATTTTCTCTGCATATTGGATGATTAAAATAAGCTTCTCTCCTACTTCTGCCTCTGAATTTCTCCTATCGAGAAATTAACGTAAAATACATCTAGGTTGTTTATTTTAATAGATATGAGCCCTTATAGTTTCCTCTCCTCTTACAGTTCTTCCCCAATGGCAACGCCTTCGCCACGGGCTCAGATGACGCCACCTGCCGGCTTTTTGACCTGCGTGCCGACCAGGAGCTGATGGTTTACTCACATGACAACATCATCTGCGGCATCACCTCCGTAGCATTCTCTAAGAGCGGCCGCTTACTGCTGGCTGGCTATGATGATTTCAACTGCAACGTCTGGGACACTTTGAAGGGCGACCGCGCAGGTAAGCCGTGCCGCAAAAAATACTGTGGTGAACTTTAACTGAATTTCACCAACTGTTTCAGCCATATATTCCTTATTAGGCCTTATGGTATAAAAAGTTGTGTCCTAACTTCTTCAGTTAGCTCTGTTGTGTGATTCTAAACTGAGAACTTCGGCACCTTTATGATTTCATGTTAGACGTTTAAAGTTTAAAGACATGTTTTATTACATAAACAAGGCTAATCTTTTATAGCTATTTTATTGTTTGATACTTGTTTCTCTCTCCTTTTAAACCTGCAGTATAGTTGATAATTGTGTCGATGTGCAGTACATTTCATTAAGTATGAAGAAAATCCTTAATTTTTTAAGATTTGGTTATAAACCAAAAATCACTGTAAGATGTGGAAGTTTAGCTTAGTCAACACATTTTAAACGTGTTTAGTGAGTATACTATTAAGCCCCTTTTCAAAATAAATAAATGTTTTTAAAGTGGACCTAAAGTCTAAATCGCAAGATAAGAGCTCTTTTGGTTTATCCAAACAGTTTCCTAATAAAAAACATTTATTTTATAAATTAACTATGAATTGAAAGATGAAGAAAGTCTTGGCTCTAGTATAAGGAGTAAGATTTTGTTTGCCCTTTTCTAGACCTGTGTAAGATTACATCAACTTCTTTTATAAGTACCTTATAAATGACTAAGTCAGGATCTTAATTTTTCTGTTTTATTGTGAACAAAATCTGTTAATTTATGAGCAGTTTGTTGTTATTTCTGTAATATATGGTCACGTTTAAACTGAATTGAGGATATACATTTTTTTTTTTTTAGAAGGAAAGGTTTTCTGGAAGCCTGCAGCTTCTCCTCTAACGGTTTGAGATGTGAAGCATCCCCGGACTTACATCTTTCCAAAAGCCTGATTTAGAAAGATTCCTGTATAGTCTGATAAAAGAAATACCTTTCTTATTAACCTTTAAAAAATTTCTAATAATGCTTAATAAAAAGTTCAAGAGCTCCATAATAAAGCCTATCCCTAGTTTTTGTTCAGACACCACAAAATTAGCTGTTTTCACCGCTTGATTATTTGTGTGATTATACATGAACCAGAAGGCTGCTCAGCAGCAGCTACAATCAGAGAATTAGGGATGAATAAGGCCATTACCTGTACTGAGAAGCAGTGATGTAAACGTTTGAAGGCTTTCAGGGTGGAGGAGAGCAACTTAAAGCTGCTAGAAAAGGGACCATAGATACTTTTTTCTTCAAGGATCTTAAAGGTTGAGATCTGGGACTTAAATGCTGAGATAAACGTCTAAACATTTGAGTCTGGACCTTTGTAGTGGGTGGAAAAAACATCAGAAAGCTGCTAAAATCAGGAAATGATCTTGGTGAATGAGGTTTTCTACCTTATCCTAGAAATGGTTTAGATAACTGATATTTCTATCATTGTGAGGACTTTTCCTGTTTCTCTGATCCCACTGTCTACATCTTTTTTTTTTTACCAAATGCCAATGATTTGTCATAACGTTAATACTGAAGCTTAACACTTTTACCTCTGGAAAATCTCACTGCTCATTGTTCAGCCACTTGTCAGCATGTCCAAACAGAGCTGTGAAGTGCTATTCAGGATAGGCTGGCCTTTTAAAGCTTCTCACAGTCTCCCATCATTTAAACGCGAGCGTCAGAGATCCCAGGCAGCTGCACGGCTTCATCACTGCAGTTTCAGAAACGAGGTGGAAATTTGAAGCTTTATTTAAGGGCATCATAAAGGCTAGGGGTTTTTTCTAGGTGGTTAGCTTCTTGGCTTATGATGTACAACAGATCCTCTGAACATAATCACTGTTAGTGTGTGACAGCGCTACGCTTACAGGAATACACGCACATGGTGTTTATCAGAAGAGGTTCTGACCTCTGGAGAGTATAGTGCAGCTTGTTGTCAAGTCAGACTAAAGGTTTAAGCATGAAACAGAAATGCATCATGGGACATTAGCAGGCATTTCAGCAAAAGATGTTTGCCAGAGTTGGAATTTGTCCCTAATAACAAAAGCACACTGAAGCAGTTACAATGTTGCTGAAATTATGTTTTCCTTTACAGTCCTTCTGGTAAACCTTTCTGTTTTATCCAAAATCGTTTCATCTTAAGGTTACTTTCAGCTACCACATTTGTGGGGCTATGCATTTACAAAACTGTTCTTTAGTAAGTGTTCCACCATTCAACTTAGGATCATTCAATGCGGATAATGTTTTACACACCATATGGTAATGAATCTGAACAGGCCTCAACTGGATTCATTATGGATTCATGTAAACAGATCAGAGTCCTGAACACTCAGCTTCCTACTGTAATAAATAACTTGGTATTTACCAGTAGATAAGTTATTCCTGAAAATATTTAGCTGTTACAAAAATAATTTCTACTTTTCTAACGGAAATATTTTGATTGTCAAGCAGTGTTGTGTTTTTGTGTTTTTTAGCACAATACCTGTAAATATTTAAAAGTGTTTTGTTTTTCTCATTTTCCTTTTTGTATAAAATTCATATCCTGTCAATATTATTAGACTGATAAGATATTGCAGTTCTGGGTATTAACCAGTAGTGATATTGATCCGATACCTTATTGGCACAAAATGTATTAAATGTTAGAAACGATTTGATCAAGTTGTAAACAAGAATAAAGCAGCAGTACATATGAGAGTAACTGACCCAGAAGTGAACTATTTCTACCTGCAAGATGATACCTGAGATTTTGCATGTAGCTCCATATTGTCCATATTTTTTTAAATTACAATATCCACATCACATCAGGACATCCTCAGTTAAAATAGCTATTATTATTACACTCTAATTATGGGTAATTAATATGTACTTCTGCTTGCACAAAAAAATATACCTGTATTTCTAGGTCACGCTGATTGGTCTGCACAAAGTTGCACATAATCAAAAATCGGCTAATCATCCCATGCAATTAATTTGTTGCATGTGTGTTTGAGGGTAAGAAGGAAGGTAGACAAAGTGTCAAACTAATTTGAAAGGAGCTCCATAGCTTGCATAAAAAAATAATAATAAATAAAGATGTCGTAGATTGAGAATTTATGGTAGTAGTTGCTGTACATGTGCTTTTTTTTTAAAAGGACAGTTTTCTTTTGTTCTTTTTTGTGTGCACTTAAATGTAATTTTGTCCTCCGTTACCAGAACCTGAACGCTGTGCTGCTTTGTCTGATTTATAAATCCTTTTACTTTTCACGTTTTACAGTTTCACATCTGCCGTTTCATTGATATCTCCTGTTTGCTGTTTCTGTAGGTGTCCTGGCTGGTCATGATAACCGGGTGAGCTGCTTGGGTGTGACCGACGATGGCATGGCAGTGGCGACAGGGTCCTGGGACAGCTTCCTCAAGATCTGGAACTAGAGTCCGAAGGTGAGCTTTCCACGAGGAACCAGGAGCGTTCATATCCTGTAACTAAGAAATTAAATGGTCCAAATCAAAGGCTAAAATGTATCGTTTTCTTATCTAAAGGGTAGTATTAAACAGAGCAAATAACCTCTCATGTTTTCAAAAACAAGATCTGGGTGCAGAATTTTATGTTTTATGAAATTACACCAACATCTGGTTAGTGATCACATACTCACTGTAAACCTCAACAAGCCTCTGACCTGATTCTGTATTTGATAACCTATATGAGAAATGGTCGCCATAATTTAAATTAGATGTTTTTTTTGTTTGGTTTTTTTTTTATCACAGACAGATTTAAGGTATTATTAACTTAATTAAAACCCAGTAAGTATCTGGGTCATTCCAGATTTCAAAACAAGTTTGGATGCATGTTTGGGAGTCTTTGTCCCACTTGATTCCATTGTTTTTAACATCTAGCTGTTATATTTGGCAGTTGATCAACTCTTGGGTGTAAAACCTAACAAACGCCATTTTATTGACATTATGTTTAAAGAACTTAATCTTTCTCCAGACTCAGTGTCGTTAAAATCTCTCAATGATGGACAGGTAATGTAATGTTTGGGCCATGAAAGGCTTTCAGGCTAAATAGGTTATTTGATTCTAAAACAGATTCTCCTCTATCCAAGAAATGTACGCAACATATTTAAAAAGGCTTTAAATTTGTGCCCGTTTTTATTCTGCTCTAATTTTGTAAGAAATGTTTTCATGGCTACAAAACATTTATCCAAATATGCTCTTTAGTTTTTAAACCTATTAAAGGTTAACTATATCTAATTTTTAAGGGTTTCAAAAGCATAAAGCTCATGTTTCATCATACATGTACTGCTGTTAACTTATGATTGTATGTGCTGCCACCTGGAGGTTAGGAGTGAAAGTACAGCATGTTAAACAACAGCCTCTTTTTATATTTAGTTGAATTTGGTTTAAATTCCAATAATGAAGCATGATACAGTTAAATGATTTAATATTTATCATATCATGATCTGTAAAGTGCCTTGAGATGGCATTTGTGTTGATTTGGCATCTTATTAATAATCTGAATAGAATCGGCCTGTGTGGAATAATGTTGTAACCCATTCTTCATTGTTTACCCTTTTTTTCCCTTCTAGATGTCATCCGGACTCCAAAGTTGAGTGAAAGACCATTCCAACATCACAATGTTCATTTTATTGCATATCCAATCTTTTTTGAAAGAAAAAAAACACCATGATACTGACTCCAAACACCCCCCCCCCCCCCCCTAAAAAAACAACAAAAAAAACTATCAAGGGCAAAAATTCTCTCCTCCTCTCTTCTTCTCATTTAAAAGAGCACAATTGTCTCACTCATTCAGCTTAGAAAAAAATTACACAAAAAAAAGCTTGAGGAATTTAGTGATTTCCAAGTGGGCTGCTGGGGGTAAAACCTCTCCAACAATAGTCTGGTAATGTAATAAATGAAAAATACGAAGCCCCCTCCCACCACTGCTACACCACACAGCAAATGTGTCCTGCATCCTCCTTATGCACAGGTCTGAATGAAGGCAGTGATCTAACTCTTCATGGCTTTTTGACCATGTTTCTTTTGCTTCTCTGTTCATCATTACACTCTGTTGAAGAGAGGTAGATCAGTGAACTGTCAGTTAATGTTTAAAACGAGGATCAAAGCTTTGATTTATTTCCTAGTCTTTAGGCGAATGTTTATAGACCGAGAAGCAAGCGAAGCTTCAGACCGCGTCATCGTAAGCCCAGCTTTATCCCACTGGAGAACAAAGTGAGAGAATTCAGCTTCAACGGGGAGTCCTCAAGCCACATCTCACCCTTCTGTATATTTAGCTCCATGATACTTTAATGTTCCTTTTTATTTTATTTTATTTTTTTTCCAGTGTAGTCCACAGATCTTTGTTTGCACAAAAATTAAACGTTGCATATATAGGATAATGTCTAAAGGAAAAAAGTTAACTAACCAAGCACATGCTGTTTATGATAATGAATGCTTGTTTTTAAAATGTAAAAAAGAAAAACAAAAAAAAAAGAAACATTTTAACCATTCTTACACCTTTCTGTCTGGCAACAGTGTAGAATAATTAAATGAAGATTAACCCATCAGATCATAATCTACCCTGCCCACCCTTTTCCTTTTTGTTCCTTTATTCCCCCCCTACTTTTACTTTAGCTCTCCCTGGTTTCTGTTGCCCGTGGTCGGGACCGGTGAGGTGATCTGGTTGAGTAGGGACTACCTCCGCTTTAGCCCGGTCGCGCTCCGGATGTTTCTTTTTAACAGAGGGTCCCATTCCGTGCTTGGAAATGCAGTTACTACTCTGTGAATGACATGTTGTATAAATCAATGTTTGAAAATAATGATATTGAAACTTTTTAAGTTAAAAACAAGAAAAAAAAGATTTTTGGTTGTCTGCCATGGGTGGGTTATCTCTTAGAATCGCATGCTGTAGAATTGCTTAAAAGGTGCATATGGAATTAAGTCCTTTTGATGTTTTTCTTTAAGAAAAATAACCTGTTGAATATATCAATACAATGGTATTTATATTTTTTTTCTCTATTTTCCTTTGTTTTTGTTTTTTTTCTTTTTGCTACTCTGTGCATACATGTTTCAACTGAAATGTCAAAGCTATGCACTTGAGAAGCAAACCCTGCAACATAAACGGTTACTTGGTCCATTCTTGGGAGGGATTCCACTAATTTTAGAAGTCACATGAATGCTTAAATTGTACACACAAGCGTACATACATTCATTTACCTTAAACACATACAGTCCAAATGGAACAAATAGATTTTCATTCCTTCTGTAGCAAACGAAATTTCCATTTACCGAAACCTTTTATAACAGTTTCATTTTTTTTGACCTTTTAATAGAAAATGAGAAAAAAAAATCTTGCAGCATCTGAATGGCAGAACTTTCTGTTATTCCCTTCTCCTTGTAAACAAAACGCTTTTCTTTAGCAGTAGGATCTTTTTCTTCCCAACCTGTTATTTTTTCTCTCTCTCTGCGACATTCTGTACAAAAGAAAATGTGCTGTAATTGTGCGTTAGGCCTGGAGTTGGCAAAAAATAAAACGAATAAAAATATTAAAAATTAATTAAACTTTTTTCCTTTTTCTCTTTCTCCATCAAATAACTGTAGAGCTCTGCACCCCCCTCCCCACTGCCTCCCCTTCACCTTTTGTATTTAATTTTAAAGTCAGTCAGTGTACAACCGAAAGCTGGATGCAAGATAGAAACTATATTAAAATGTACTGTTATTTAAGATGTAATAAAAAGCAGTTTGAGATGACCTGCTGTGTTGAGTGTGATTCACTTAGAGCAATTCCCACTGAAGCTAGAAAACTGCAGACTGTTTGGTTTCCTTGTAATTATGTTAAAGTCAAATAAAGGAATTTCTTATCCACTGTTCCATCAGCCTTGCTCCTCTGTAAAGTTTAATAGTTTCTTTTTAAATACCGTCTTAACATCAGCATGCCAGTAATCCTTTAATTGTATTTCATTTATCTCAGTTTCTTAGCTTCCAGGTAGTTACAGTCTTTATCAGTAATTCACTTATAGGAGGCTGCCAGGTCAGATGCTCCCACAAGTCTGTTTTTGGTGGGGGTTAACGTTTTCTGCATCTCGGTGCCCTCTACTGGAAAAAGTGAGGAGGTGCTTCTCCAGCTGTTTTGAAAAAATAATTTTCATTCATCTGTATTTTTAGTCAATTGACTTTAGCATTGCCCTAACACAAAAATTAACTGAAAAGTTTTTTTTTTTTTACTAATATATAATACTTTAAACACACCTTTAAGGTTTTTTTCATGCCTAAAATTTGCAGCAAATGCAATCAATGACTTACAAGACAAATGGGGTTCAGGTTCACAAGCATTTACAAATAAAGCTGATGAAAGTTAAGCATGTATGTTGTTGGGGGGGTAAAGCACAGCTTAAACAGTAATAATCCATATTTTATATTCTTATAAAAACAATGTTTTGAGCCTAGGGGACGCAGAGAGTGTGTCAGATGATCAAGGTGACTGCTTTATCCTGCAGATGTTTCTCTGATGCCAGACTTTTTGGAATTACACAAGCAATGAACTGTTTGAAAACATTGATAAATACTCTGTTAAAAAAAAAAAAAAGGAACACTTATCACAAAATAACTTCAAATCCACTTAAGAAGCAACAATGAATGACAATTTCATTCTCGTGTAGATGGAATAGACAATGGGTTGATATTTTTTGCAATTAGCAAAACAATAAAGGAGTGGTTCTGCAAGTAGGACCACAGCCTTGCTTTCTGGCTGATGTTTTGATCACTTTTGAACATTGGTGGTGGTTTTATATTCGTGCTGGAATGAGATGGACTCTACAAACACAAGTGGCTCCGGTAGTGCAGCTAATCCAGGATGGCACATCAATGACAGCTGTGGCAAGAAGTTTTGTTTCGTCTGTCAGCATAGTGTCCAGAGGCTCCACGCACTCCCAGAAGACACTGAGGAGGCCTTAGGAGGGCAATAACCCAGCAGCAGGACTGCTACCTCCCCCTTTGTGCAAGGAGGAGCACTGCCAGAGCCCTGCAAAATGATCAACAGGCGACAAATGTGCATGTGTCTGCGCAAACAGAAACCAACTCCATGAGGATGGTATGAGGGTCAGATGTCTACTGATGTGGGTTGTTCTCACAGCCCAACACCAGCAGGATGCTTAGCATTTACCAGAGAACACCTGGATTGGCAAATTAGCCACTGCCGCCCTGTTCTCTTCAGAAAGCAGGTTCACACTGCGTACATCTGGAGACAAACCAGAGAGTGATCCATGGCCTGAAACATCCTCCAGCATGACCGGTGTGGTAGTGGGTCAGTAATAGTGTGGGGTGGCATTTCTTTGGAGGGACGCACATCCCTCCATGTTCTCGCCTAAGGTAGTATGGCCGAGATGAGATCCTCAGACCGATGTTAGACCATATGCTGCTGCAGTTGGTGCTAGGTTCCTTTTAATGCAGGACAATAGTAGACCTTATGTGGCTGTAGTGTGTCAGCAGTTCCTGCAAGATGAAGGCATTGAAGCTATGGACTGGCCCACCCATTCCCCAGACCGGAATCTGAGCAAATCTAAGACATCATGCCTCGATCCATCCACCAATGTCATGTTGCACCACAGACTGTCCAGGGGCCTGTTTCAATAAGGAAGTTCAACCAACTCTGAGTTAAAACTTGAACTCTGAGTTGACTTATCCTGAGATGGGAAACTCTGAGTTTTGGGTTTCAGAACAGCTGAAATGAGTTAGTTCAATCAACTCTAAATTGACTGACTCTGAGTTAAGCGCATGCACCACAACTATAAAAAGCCATTATCAATGGAGCACAGATATCACGAGTCACCATGGCAACAGCGTCAGACAAAAAAAGATGTGCATATTTCTCACCAGCAGAACTGGATGTGCTTATGCAAGCATATGCAGAATTTGAACATGTATTTTTTTTAAAAGCAACACGGCTGCAGCGGCGAAGGAGAGAGAGTTAGCTTGGGTGAAAATAGCTGCTCTAGTCAATGCGTAAGTTTACATTTTAATTACTTTTATACAGTGTTGGGTGTAATGAATTAAGTTACTTAAGTCATATAAATACTGTAATTAAATTAAAGACTATAAAACAATAGTGGGTTTAATATCAAATTTTAAAAGGTATATTTTGATTTGAACTTTCTCCCTCTAGTTACACACCTTGGTCAATTTAAGATTAATTCATGCAATTGAATATTGTTTATTTGAAAGCATTAGAAGTGCAGTTTCTTGTCTCTCTTTGTATTGTTCAAGTGGTTGAGGTTGATTTGGGATTTAGAAAGTAATTAATAAGTAAGTAAAACAAATTAGTAAGTAGACCAATACTTTCTAGAGAGAGTAATTATTACATTAATCTAATTAGACTTGTTGAAGATAAAAGTTGTAGTTAGTAATTAAGAACTATTTTAGAGTAACTTACCCAACTGTTATAATATCAGAGGTGAAACTGGAAGAACAGTATTTTATTAAACCTAATTTAGTTTTCATGGATAGGCGCAATCCTGCAGGAATCAAAAAAACATGGCAGCAGCTGAAAATGAAATATAAAAAAAAAATTCAAGCAGGTAAGCCTTGAGCACATCATGGGAGTAGAGTAGCTACCTGGCTTTACAAACAGGATCATCCATAAAAGGACATGCCATTTCATTCCCTTTGATGCGCTCTACGTGACTGAGATGTGTGCAATGAATACTGTATGTCCCCAAAGAATCAATGAGGTGTTTAAACACCACTTCCTCTTTAAAAAAGGGGAGGAGACCAAAATAAACTCTGGATTTTCTGAAGAAAACCTGCTCCCGACCAGGTTAGGTTCACAGAGTAAATTGCCATGGTAACTGACTCTGAGTATAAGTTACCTCTCTTTCAGAAACGGGCTTGACTTACTCTGCTTTCTCAGGTTTAACTTACCTCCCTTTCTGAAACAGAAAACCCAGAGTTTCCCTCATTTCAGGGTTAACAAACTCAGAGTTTTCACTTAACCTCCTTTCTGAAACAGTCCCCAGGAGTTGGTGGAGGCTCCCTAGGGTGACCACCCACCTTCTCATCAGAAGCAGGCTCAGGACATTACATCAAAGTTCAATCCTGCAGTGTGTTTTTCTACTTTAATTTTGTAAACGCCTCCAAACCCAGGCCTCTTTTGGTTAAAAAAAGTTTATTTCAATTGTTAATGTTTGTGTGATTGAGCTTTCAGCACATTTGACTTTTTGCAGAACAAAGTATTCAATGATATTATATATATGAATATTTCAATCATTTGTATCTAGGATGTGTTATTTGAGTGTTTCCTTTATTTTTAGGAGTATATAAATACCTATATTTTGATGCTCTGTAAGTAAATGTATTCACAGGGTTTCCTCTCATCCACTGACTGCTCAGCTCTCCATGAGTAAGCCCATACAGAAACTGGATCACATCATGGTTTTGCATTTTGATGGTTTAATGGTGAATTGATCCATACAGTATCTTATACTTCAGGTCAAACTTTTATTTGATTATTCCTCCCATTATTTTATACAGACTCTCTTAATCCAAGACAGGTTAGATAGACCAGCTTCCTTAGGGATCCATTCCTTGGTTTGTCCAGGCATGTTCAGGTGGGTCTTTGTGCCGTCCTGCTCCTGAAGCTATATATATATTTTTGTTATCTTGGCTTTGTGTTTCAGGTCATTGTTTTGAAAGATGAATTATCCCAAAACACTTTGAAGACTGTTTTCTGAAAGAGTCTCTTTGTATTTGACTGTCATCTTGCCATCTATACAAGAAAAAAAAAAAAAAAACACATCCCACAGCATTAGGCTGCCATCACCATGCTTCACATTTGGGATGATGAGATACAGATATAATATTCATGCCTTAAGCTATGCTCTAGTTTCATTTGACAAAATGATCTTGTTTTTCCTGTTCAGACATTCTTATGTGGTTTTTGGCTAAATTAAAGGCGTGGCTTTTCTGGATGCTTGGTTTTATCAGACAGGCCAGATCTAGTGGGAATCATTTCCCTCCATTTAACAGGAAAGTTAAACCCTGGACAGCTTGCTGCCACATCTAAAGGGTAACATTTATTTTGAACTGATAAAAACAAAAACATTTGATTTTGGCAAAATTCTTTGTATCCATCCCCGGGTCTCTTCTGGTTTGCCCTCTGCTTAGATAGACTGAATAAGAATCCAGAAAAGTATTTGTCATTATAGGCCCCATCAAGAAAATTTGTCAGAACATTTGGTTTATAATATTTTCTGTTTCTATATGTGTGTGTGTGTAGGAGCCAATTATTTTTTGTTAATAATTAAAAAAGGTTTTTGGTTATTTAGTCATGTTCCTTAGTTTTTCGTTAGTTATGATTAATATGGGTGAATTATTTTTATAAATAGGCAGTCAATGGTAGGACCAGCATGCATCTGGGTGGGCTTATTTTTTTTGTTTTTGCTTTTACATGCCCAAGAGAAGCAAGGAGGAAATGTTTGTCTTTTTCTGTTTGCTTGCCGGAAGAGAAAATAAACTGAGAAATCTAAAGTTGAACTGGATAATTTTTTTCTTATACCTGCGTAAAATTAGCCCATGGTGCATCTGTGGCCTTTGTGGATTTCCACTTTTTTTTTTTACACACACACACACACACACACACACACACACACACACACACACACACACACACACACACACACACACACACATATATATATATATATATCAAGGGCGTAGGTTTGATTTGAACTTTGGTAGGGACACTATTGGTCTGGTGT